GCCACAAATGCATGTTTCTTTCGATATGTAAATTTACTAAGATAAAAATCTCATAGATTTTCTGTTTCCGAGCAAACTTTGGAATAATTTGATTGACATATAGTTAAGAAATAGGAGCATAGCGGGATTTTGCTCTTGCTTCGACAGATCTTTTTCTTTCTCCTCCAGGCGGAATCTGTCATACAATATTTAAAAGCATTATCTTCTTACCAAAAAAATGTCTGTGGGGCACTTATGAAATTTGGACTGCAAGTCTTAAAATCTATGTGAGTTTTATAAAATGTATCTTGTCTCTACTTGTATTTTCTTCTCTGTGTCCCATTTTGTTAATTGTGGATGACTTTTCATTTATACTCTTCCTAGTTCCCCAGGGATTTTGAGGTGGGTCTCAGTCTATGTGGATAGCTTAGAACCAGGACATTAGGTCAGAATAAGAGAAGACCTGGGAGGTGGGGAGACCCCAGAGAGAAAGAGGGCTACTTCTGAGATATTGCTTGGTTAGTTGGGAATCTGAATTGGTCTGGGAGTTCCCAACCAGTGTTTTAAAACCTCCAAGAGCTTTAGACATGACTTATCCATCCATCTTTGACCTTAATAACTAGGAGACAACCTTATAATGATAAATTTTATCTCAGGTGTTCACCCTAACCAATTAGTAATGATGCAGGTGCAATGTCTTGAGAAAAATTCTGAGCTTTCTAATAGATTAACAGGAAAGAGTTCTATGATGAATTATCTATGCCTGCCATGGGCTCACAACGGGAAGTGGTGGTCCTTACAAGACGTGTTCTGCTATAAAAACTATGGAAGAGAACGCATCTCTGAGGCCTTTTTTTCCAGTCCTGATCCAGGACTCGAAATATCAGCCTAGGATTTTCAAAGTGATCATGTGGGCCATGCAATATATAAACAGCTATTTGGTAAAGACATGTATGATGAAAACAAGAGTACCGATGCTTATTGTAGCTGTTTTGTACTGTATCAACAAAGAGCTCCTTCTTGTCTTAACTGCTGTTCAAGTTATTTTAATGGTTTATCAATCTCTTTCCAGAAACCTTGCTATACTTAGTCAAAAATTCCCCAAGATTGAATTTAAGGAACTTACTTCCCTCCTAGAAGATATTTCTTCCAAGTATGAAGCATGCTGTGAAGGGGATGGTGTGCAGTGTATCCGTGGAAGGGTAAATATTCTCTAAAACCAAGTAAAAATAGTGATTTCTGGAAGCCATTTTTTATTCTGAAGTTGCATTAATGTGTGGCTACTTACCTACAATAAAATCAGAATGTTAATAAATGGTTAAATAATAACATAAAATAAATAAAATAAAAAATAAGATGTTAACAAATAAGCCCAAATAAAACTTTGAGGGTTTTTTCTACATGAGGTTGTTTGTTTTTAGATTACTCAACAGATTGTATTTTACATGGGTAAATGTCCTTGACATAAAACTTCAGGAATTAGAATTTGTGAACATTCATTTAGGCTAGATTGAAGTTTTCTTTAATATTGCAAATCCTCTTGTAGAAATATTAAAAATTAATAGTTAAGCTCAGAGGATGGTTTGTTCCCATCATGTTTTTAAGAGCTGCTGTCTCTGAGGTTCTTCAGAGCTGCTATTTAGGAACAGTCTTTCCAAAGAAGTGGACATGTTAATTTAAAATAACTCTTACTCTGTTCTTTAATGTGATTCTCTAAGGCATATACTAATAAGTATATTGTTGACCTAGAGTGAGTTGTTCAGGCACACAAAGGTAACAATTTCATTAAAAATATCCTGACTTCTTAGTTGAAATTAGGCCTTTTCTTAGTGACTTTTAATTACTTTTACTGTTTTAAATTCACAGTGAAATAGTATGTTAATTAAATAACTTGAGTTTTAGAATATAAAGGTATATACATTCTATTTCAAGCAGTGAACAGCAGATGTCCCCAACAATTATTTTGTCCCTAACTGAACTTCAATTAAAAGCAATCTCACTCACCATTTACTTTGCATTGTTTGTTTATGGGGATGTGGGTTTTGTAATGTTAAATATAATGTACTGAATTAGGATATAATTGAAAATTTGTCTACGAAGTTTGCAGCTGAGACTAAGGGATCATATCACATCCTTAATATCCTTCTCTTTAATGCCTTCATGGAGAAACAAGAGGAAGTGAATTGTAGTTCATTCAAAATAGAACTGAATTCTCAGGCAATAAGAGATGTGTTGCCTAGAACAATGATGGCCTTAATGTGAGATGTGCATGTGTTTGCAAAGATTGGCTCCCTCGTTCTATATTGTTTGTTGGAAACATGGTGCAAACTCCACTCCATTTCTTACGTCAACCTGGAGCTTCACCCCGTTCCTCACCCTCAATGTTCACCAGAAGATTCACGCAGGAGAACAGCTTGAGCCAAGTCAGAGAGGCCAGGTGTTTTGATGGAGCTCAACTTAGTTCATGTGAAGCTGGAACAGAGAGAAGGAAAAATGTGCAGCCTCATTCTGAAGAGTCTGGAGAAGGGTCTAGAGCTTTTAGACCCTTTCTGGATCAGCTTTTAAAAAGTTATCCAACTAATGTCTAAATAAGATAATTCACTGTTTCCTTTATTTCCGTAACTTTATGTGGAGCTCAGAATTGGGATGAAGAATAGGGAGAGAGGATAGAGTAATGTTTTGTATTTTGTACATTTGATAATTCGAACAGCTTCAACTTAATAATATCCACAGGAAAATGACAACAATGAGTACAATAGCTTCTTATGATTAGGAAGTCTTTATCTGGTAGTTGCTATAGTGGTTCATTTGTTTACCATTCTTTCGTTCAGTTATCAGATATTTACTGAGTTTCTACTACGTGCTTGGCAATGTAGTTTCATGCCACAAGAGAAGAAATCTAGGATTATAGACACAGCCACGCTCTGTGTAATGACGTTTCAGTCAACAACAGACTGCCTCTACGACGATGGTCCCATAAGATTAGTAGTATATAGCCTAGGTGTATAGTAGGCTATACCATATAGGCTTGTGTAAGTACACTCTATGACGTTTGCATGATGACGAAATCACCTAACCCCGCATTTCTCAGAACATACTCCTGTCCTTAAGGGACGCATGACTATTATAGTAACATGTCTTTGGTGGCCTTCATTGAAGCACAGGTGAACTCTTATGGGAAAAAAAACAACATTTAAAATTTAAATGCCAATATCTCAGAGGAGTAGGGGTAAAGTATTTAGAAGACTGATATTTAACAATGAATATGATTTTATAATAGAGTCTATTTTTCATAATTATATCATCTAAAATCCTGAGAAATAAAGCTTGCATTAATATGAAACTTCATGTGTATTAAATTAATACAAAATTTAAATAAATATAGTCTCTCAAATTAGCTGATGAAGCAATGCCAGATGTTATGTTTAAGGTTGGTTTTGCATGCAGCCATTCCATTGTGAGGGAAAATCCAACCCTGAAGAAATTATAAAAACAAAGTCATTTCTCATTCTTATTTGGTACAGAGCAAGGTTATGAGCCATATTTGTTCAAAACAAGATGCTATCTCCAGCAAAATCAAAGAGTGCTGTGAAGAGAAAATACCAAAGCGTGGCGAGTGCATAATTTACTCAAATAAAGATGACAGGCCAAAGGACTTATCTCTAAGAGAAGCAAAATTTACTGAAAATGAAAATGTGTGTGAACAACGAGATGCTGACCAAGACACCTTCATGGCTGAGTAACATAACTCTATATTGAAATTTATAAGGCAAATAGAAACTTATGATTTGACCTATTTTTGCTAACTTGGGTGGAAGAAATGGGAACCATTTAAATCTTTGGGTGTCACATAATTAAAAAAAAATCATGACTATAGAAGATAGTATTTTCACATGATTTTAAGAAAATGTAATTGTGTTATTATAGTGATGGCTAACATTTATTGAGTACTTGACATGTGCCAGACAATGGGCTAAGTATTTTATATGGATTATCTATTTTAATTCTCACAACAGTCGTGTAAAATAAGTATGATTTCCCCCAACTTTTCAGATGAGAAAATTGAGATACAGAGAAGTTAAGCAACTTGTTCAAGGTTCACAGCTAAAAATGTCAGAGTGAGGATTTGACCCAGAGGTCTGGCCTAAGAAGTTGATACTTAACTGCTATGTTATGGCACCCTACAGCTATTCAGGGGAAGGCTAGTGGTCTTGGAGCCAAAGGGACTATATTTGAGTCCTGACTGAGTCATTGGAACAAGTTAACCTCTGTGTATTTTAGATCATCATACACAAAATTCATACAAAAATATTCATTCATTCAAAGTTTGTTGGTAATGAAACATAATCCAGGGACTTTACTAAGTTAGGCAGGATTTTTGTCTCCAGTGAGCTTTCATCAATAGGGAATGTGATGTGGGAAGAGATAGACTTATAAATAAATGAGTGCAAGAAATATTCTTTCATTTCTGGTAGCACTATGTGATAGGTAATGTGGAGACAGAGGAGAAGGTGATCAATTGTACTAGGGACCCTGGAAAGGCTTGATAGGGAAGAGGTACCTGAAGAAGTTTTGGTAATCTAGAGAGAAGGGGTAGAGTATGGATAGAAGTATAAAGCTACTTGGTGTGTATGTGGCTGTGAGTAGGGTATCTGTCGTGAGAGGCGAGGGTAGTGACAGGTAGATGGGGTCAGATCATGCAGGCATGCTAAGTAACAAGATGGCACTGAAGGATTTTCACTGAAGAATAAGGAAGGACAAAATCACTTTTGTTTTTTAGAAACTTCATCTGGAATGAATCCCAGTTTGGGGCTTAGGTGGTTGGGTAAGTAGTTTTCGCATTCAACGAGATGGGAAGTACGGGTGAAGCTTTTGTGGGAAGGAGAATCTGTTTGGATCTGAACACATTGACTTTGAGGCACCTGTCAAGTAACTAATTGGGAATGTCACTAGACAAATTTATATGTGAACCTGGAGCTCTGGAAGGAGGTCTGGATTGAAGAAATAGGCTAAAGAATACTTACGAATTTTAAGCGCTCATCTACTACTAACCAATTTAATTTTCAAAACAACCCTCTGAGGTTAGAATGCTTTTATTATCCTTATTTTATAGGCAAGGAAACTGAAGGACAGAGGTCAAGTAACTTGCTCTAAAGTCACACAGCTAAGAGGCGGTGGAGCCAGGATGCAAAGGCAAGCAGCCGGGCTCCAGACTCCTGCTCTTATAACCACTGTGCTTCATTGCTTCTCACGAGTCATGGATATTAAGTCAAATTAAACCAAACAAATGATAGATGTATGCATTTCACTTGTACCTGACACGTGTTCACTAAATGGAAGCAATTTTTATCACCATCATCACTATCATCGTCATCATCAGTATTACAACATAGCTAGTGTTTGAAGCGTGGGGAGAAATGATAGAGCCACAGTGAGCATGCTGAGCCAGAAATAGAGCGTTAAGGTGCAATCTTTCTGAATGTAAACATTTGACACGAGACCTCAATGGATCTGCCAGGCTAGGGGAGGCTGCCAGGGGCTTTTGTTTGCAACATTTTGGTGGTGTGTTTTTCGGTGTAACTTTATTCCTGGGGAAAGGTCCATGGCTTACACCAGATGTTAAGAGGAGCCCCTGATTCTCTGAAGGTTAAACACCACTGCTTTAGGCTATGGGAATATATCCCACAAATGGGACAGAGAAGGCAGATGGAGAAGCAGGAGAGACCATGTCAGAGAAACCAAGATTAATGGAGAGAATGGAAGGCTGCAAAACAAAAAAGGATGAAGAGAGTTTCCTGGACTTGAAAAA